GAAACTGCTGATCAGCTGACCATCTATGACAGGGAAAGAAGCCACATGTGAGAGCATCATACCATTAGTCCATTTAATGCAATTAACGATTCAGACCAAGGATGGTTAATGGACACCGGAACAGCGAGGACCGAAAGGAAACATGTTGCAAAAGGAGAAAGAAAAAAAAAAAAAAAAAAAAAAACAGGCGGCTCTCCTGCAGTGCAATACAGTTCCTTATTATCATCTGCATCGTTCAAGAACTGATCTTTTTCCTCTTTTGTGTGTGTGGGAGTAGTGTAGTAAGGGGGGGGGTAGTGTCTCGATGTAGCCAAAGCTGTCCTGGTTCAAGACGTCAGAAAATTAGGTCTTTGGCTTCCCTTCCAAAGGCAGCAGACAGTCGCCGGTGAAAGCTGAGCAATGGTGGACTTTCTTTCGTTAACTAAGCTGATGCTTTTCGTGCAATGCCTCTAAGAACAATTTGCATATATATTCGCTATTTACCGGGTTCAAGAATAATATTAATGATAATGATAATAATAGCGATGACGAAAATAAACATGATAACAAAAATGGGAATCATGTTAATGATAGAAAATGATAATAGTGATAATATCATAATATGGTAATGATTATAAGGATAGTGATAACAATATCTGTTATGATGATAATAGTAATGATAATAATAATAGCAATAACAATGCTAGTAATAATACTAATTATCATAATGATAATAACAATGATAATAATGAAAATAATGATGATAACAATTAAAAGGATAACAGTAACATCGAAAACATTATTATTAGTAATAATGATGTTAATAATGATACCAATTACAATAGCGATAATAATAGAAATGATAAAAATAAGGTTGATGATAAGAACAACAATCGTAATGATAATAATGATGAAATAAAAAATAAAAATGATAATGTTTATAATAATGAAAAGAAATAATAATGATGGTAAAAAGAGATGATAATAATGATGAAGATGATGATGACATTAAGAGATGCATTTTCAACATGCCAGTGCATAAGTTTTTGGGAACGTTATATCGTAAATAATTCTTGAGTAAATCTAAGCTGGACCTAGATTGTAGGCCTAGGTTCGATACATGTAATATTCACAGTAATGAAAATAAATGATAATCATATCAATGACAATAATCATTATAATAATGATGATGAAGATGATAATAATAATAATAATGATGATAATAATAACAATAGTCATAATAATGATAATGATAAAAAGAACAGTAATTATAATGATAATAATAATAATAATAATAATGATAATAATAATAAGGATGATAACAACGATTATAGCAATGATGATAATGATAATAATAAGAAGAATGACTGTAACAATAAAGACAAAAACAGCAGTAACAATAATGATAAAAATAATATTGTTATTAGTTATGATAATAATACTAATAATAAAGACAAGTTTAATTAAATTGGGCTCCTCACGATGACTTGCAGATTCTTCACCAGCGCGTGAAGGTCAAGGAATTTTTTACTTAAATTTATGATATAAATTTGTCCCAAAGATAGATAGCTACACAGATATAGATAGGTAGATAGACAGACAGTCAGATACAGAGATAGAAATACAGACAGATACAGATAGATAGATAGACAGACAGATATATATATATATATATATATATATATATATATATATATATATATATATATAGAGAGAGAGAGAGAGAGAGAGAGAGAGAGAGAGAGAGAGAGAGAGAGAGAGAGAGAGAGAGAGAGATAAATAGATTCATATGACCGCATTGCTAATTGCTATAAATGCAACTCATTAAATTATAAAGAAAAAAAATCCTAACCTTGAAGATTGTTCCATGAAATCGCGTTTCCTGATGTTTGTGTCGATCAAAGTTGTTAGTATCTGACTTGACCATTTCTGGAATTCATGAAACAAAAAACTTGGGATATGTGATGCTTGTTCTGAGAAACATATCAGTAAAATTAAGGAAATCAATTACCATCAAATCAACTCTTATGGAAATGTGATATAGACGGAAATGTTAGTTGTTTAAACTCTAGTCAACAAGCTGCTTCCTGTATCGTTATCTGCTACAATCATATTGGGGGAAATGTTACTTTACTTTGTTTCATATTCACTGTCCAGATATAAAGTATATGCGTAGCATTGCCAGAATGATTGCGAAATTGTTGGAATCTGTTCTTGTCTTGAGATCTAGAAGTACAATGTCATCAGTATACTATTGCATAAAAAATTCAATGGCAATATAAGTTAATACGTTGTTGTGTTGTTGTTGTAAATTAATGTTGTTTTAAACTAAGAGTTAATCGTACAAGTAATTTAAGTACGGGGTCCATCCTCACTGACATCCTAGACTGTCACTGACGACTGTCACTGACATCCTAGACTGAGACTGTCCTGACGACTGTAGACTGTCACTGACATCCTAGACTGTCACTGACATCCTAGACTGTCACTGACATCCTAGACTGTCACATCCTAGACATGCACCATTTCTCTGACACGCCAATTCGTTACCAGGT